GTTGGGTAGAGGTAGCATGGGCATTTATGTAATCCACTTGATTTGGATGAAGACCAGACTGCTCCACAATGATGTAGTAAAAGAAATTTTTCAGGACATACAAGGGTTTAAAAAAAGCCACAAGTAGTAAAACAAATTGTTCAAGACATACACTGTATCAATCGACAAAGGAAAGTTTCCAGGCTCCACTAGGTATACACTAAACTAGGAAGGATGTAACAACAATCCTCCCTACTGTTTCCATTTTAATCGCTTTCTATTTATTCAAATTTGCACCAGATAAAGTTAATGCTTGCCGGTGCAGATGAACAAAACTATTATGGAAGATTATACAAGTCACAGCATCAGTTCCTCAAAAACAATCAAATATGAGCAATAATTTACTTATAAATAGTAAAATCAATATAAGGTTATGTATCAGTTATTCAAGGTTTCAGTTCTTGAACGTAAGTCATCATAGGGTACAAGAAGAAACCAAGGATGTGGTCTCATCTTGACAATTAATGCATTAAGGATCAAATAGCTCAAAGCCATGAAGATGATATGTTACCTGCTTCAAGGCATGTGTCATGGCCAAAATGGCACCTCTTCCATCAGTATGTGGTTGAGTAATGTGATATGCATCACCTTAAAATATCACTATGTTCAGAACAATGACATATTAAAGCAAGAAAAATATTCACTTCCCCTGAGTTTTCAAAATCAACCTGACATCCCATAGCCACAAACTTCTGCATAAATTTTTGCTCCACGTCTTTTGGCATGTTCAAGTTCCTATGATTTAAAAGGGGAAATCGTTGATTAGTAACAAGCAACAAAGATAGCGGAGATTACAACTTGTGAATAAGAGAAAAGAAAAGAACGATTGAAATTTTAACTCCAATGCATGTCTGAACTAACCTCTAATACCAAAATACCAGAACCTTCACCTATTCTGAGCTCAAAATATATGTTAGGTTGCAAAAAGCAACAAAAAGAACAGTAAGAAGGGTAAAATAGGAAAAGTAAACCTGATAAAGCACATCAACTTACACAAACCCATCCCGACCACAATCAAAGGGTCGTGAAGCTTCTAGAGGAGAAGAATTGTACTTCGTTGTCAAAGCCCTTGTCCTAATTCAAGAAAAAGTTTGACGAATTAGATCTAAATAAAAAAGTCAGAAAGTAGGATTGGCCTCTTTAGTTGAAATCACAAATATCTGGTTAAATAAAGTTCTGCATGAAAAATGATTAGGTGGAATTTTTTTTTTTTCATTTTAATGCTAGTCATTAGTTCAAGTTCTTCCTCCTTCCATGGGCTTCATTCATCTATATCCAAAAAGGTCTCAATAAGCTTAAAAAAGAAAATATATAAATTCTAACATTATTTACCATGCTGGATTAAAATGTAAACAGTATTAGTTACGTGAGGAAGATATTGAATTCCAAATGGACTAGTCAGGAACCCTTTCCCGCATTCTCTCTGCCTTTAGTATGTCAGGAACCCTTTCCCACATTAGACCTATCTGTGTTATTTATTGAGTACCGACTTCCAAAGGACTACCTCACATGTTACATGTTTCTGTATGATTTACTGATCCTAGTGGTTTACAGCAAGCATCTCATCCACCATAACTTAATCCTTGCAAACAAGATCAAATAGAAACTTGTAAACATGCATGGTTTATAATTTGGCACAATAATCACCTGCAAAATCCTGCTATTGACAAAGCATCAATGCTGGATTCTGTACCTCCCGCCACCATAATATCCGAATCTCCAAACTGAATCATCCGTGAAGCATCGCCAATCGAATGTGCTCCAGTAGCACAAGCTGTCACTGCAGCATGGTTTGGGCCCTATATTCAAAAGTATGACAAGAATGCAGCAGTATCTTAATTTTAACAATGTCAACAAGCAACTCCCTCAAATTGCACCAAAACATTTTGGCTAAGAAACTGAAAAGAAGATGCATGACTCAACAACCTCTCCTGCCCACTGACACCTACACTACATCATCATAGCATACAACTTATGCTCGCTTAATTAATTCATCCAAGCTTTTCTCTTTTTTAACGAGAAAAAGATTTCACTATATATGTCTCTTTTGACAATTCCAGTAAATGTTGTCAAGAGATTGGAATCAATAAGATGTACATTCCTTTAGGACAACTTTGAGGATACGAAAAAATACCATTTGGTGGCATGAGAAGATATAAAAAAACCAATGTCTCAGGATGGTTTGGGATTGAGATCTTTTGTGGAGATGAACTTGGCCTTACAAAATAAGTGGCTTTGGAGGTTCATGAAAGAAAACAGTATTCTATGGTGGATTGTGATAAACGCAAAGTTTGGTACTGTGGATAGTGGATGGTACCTCAAGCGGAGGATAGGCAATCCGAATCAGTTTTCGGAAGGACCCTTGACTTAGAGGGAAAGCATTCAGAGATAAGTTTCCTTGAATTTTCGCTCTTACACGGCACAAGGATATCTCAGTCCATGAATCATTCAAAGATATTGAGAGAAGGGAACATGTGGATGTGATGAGAAATCTCAACGATTGAGAAATTAATGAGCATGAGTCTCCTAAGTACACTCTCCTTCGCCTCAATGGATGGGAGTAATAACCAAGCAGTCTGGAGTCTCAATAGCACCAGAATCTTTTTGGTTAAGTCTTTCTATTATTTAGTTAAGAATGACACCATTGAGACCAGTTTTCCTTTCTGGCAAATCTAGAAGATAAATGTTTCATCAAGAGTTGCTCTCTTTGCATGGGAGGCAGGACATGAGTGTATTCCTACTATTGACGAGTTGATGAAAAGGGAAAAAAATTACGGTGAACGGCTGTTTTCTATGCAAGTAGGAGGCAGAGTCTTATAATCACATCTTGCTTTAGTGCTCGTTTGCGTATAAATTATGGATCATGGCCTACAGGTTACTAGGGATTAGTTGGGTCAAGACTGGTACGGTAAGGATGAGAGTTGGGTATGGAAAGGTATTAGCGGTAGAGAAAGCCATGTGGGTCTAATTCTCCTTACTATATTTTGGGTAGTGTAGAAAGAAAGAAACATCAGAACTTTTGAAGGGATAGAAGATAATCTATATAGAGTTAGAGATAAATGGTTTCAGATCTTGAGTTTTTTTATTCTGATCATCCTCTTTATTCTTTGAAAATTTTTGGGGACTTTATTGATATTCTAATCGACATGTAAATATTTTGTACATGAGTTAGCACCCCTTAGGTGCTTGTGTATTAATGAGACATATCATATTTTTTATTTCAAAAGAAAGATTTCATTAAAGAGTAGCAAGGGGATGCTACCCAAGCATGAAGTTTGGTGATTTACAAGAAAAAAAGTCTACTAAACATATAAGACCTTCATGTGAAATATGTAACAAATTAATCCTCTATTACAGAGTACAGCTCCACCTCCATCCCTCCATTGCCTTAAATGCTCTATAGTTTTTTTTTTCCATTCTAATCATCCAATGGGATGACTAAACTAAATTAGTTCATCCAATCTCATGTAATGAAATTTAATGATATATCAACCAACTCTCACCCTAACAATTGAGATCTTAAACTTGAATATGGGAAATGCCATTTTATTCTCAGCTTAAAAAGCCGATTCTCTGTTTCAACCAGGAAGATGACGCACCATATGACAAGATATAACCACTGTAGTCATGTACTTCCAGGATATAACTATTGATCGGGGAAGAGAGAATTGACCTCAATTCCCTGAAGTCAGGGCGAAACTATATATCTAGTTGCTTGGATGAGTTTCTATGATATGAAGATTTCATTTATTTTCAAAACAAAAAAATAATTTAGATAAAGGCTTCAATACATACCTGAAACCCATACTTCATGCTCACATGACCTGAGGCCATGTTTATCAATATCCTTGGGATGAAAAATGGACTAAGCCGGCGGAGTCGCTGTATTAAGAGATCAGAGTGATCACATATTGGATAAAAACATTATTCCAAAAAAAGTTAACTCGTTTTTTCAGAGAAATTCCTGAAAACCATTATTTCAAAAAAAAAAAAAAGTACTGGAGACCATGAAGAAGTGAAGCACTTTATGTGGTAAGAAACAAACCTTTTCACAGATCATCTGTGCTGCATCCAATATATCACTGATACTCCCAATTCCCCCACCAATAGAAACTCCCTGGTGTTCAAGTAAACAATTCACACCATGAATGCATTAGAAAGCCTGTATCCTGGCACATGATTGCACTTAATGAAACAAGTACCGTTCTTTCCTTCTGCTCTTGTTCAGTAGGTAGCCAATCCGCATCTTTTAGTGCTTCATCAGTGGCACATAGTGCATAACCTATAAACCTTGCAATTGATCGATGTTCCTGGAAAAAATATATTATGATGACACAAACTAATAATATTTTTTTTAAATAACTCCGATAATAAAATCAAGAAACCACAGTGAACTTCAAAATCAAACAGAAGTACTCTCCTAAGGTTATACCAACACAAAAGTTAAAATTGTTAATAGGAATCAGCCATTAACCAACTTAAAATACTACCAGAGATTACACTCTTTCCTCATCAATGGAATTCTTTCAACCATTAGAAGCACTGGAGACATGTCCCGGATCAAACATGAATTATTTAGGTAATTTGTTTATTTTCCAGCAAATAAGTTGGATTATTCCTTTTGCACATACACAATCCTGTTGGGTTGCAAGGAAATGCACGTTTCTCCAATCCTCCAGATATTGCTGAGTAAAATTCCAGCTCAGGAGACAACTTGATAACATGACTCCCATGTTCGAGAGAGTGCTAAAACCCTAAGCCATCTTAACCGATTCAGGTGTTCCCTCAAAGTCATAAAACTTCTCTAAGCCCCAAAAGCACGGAAATTGTAATAAAGCCTCTAAGCCAAATTCCACCCAATACTCAATTTCTTCATTTACAGTTCTCGAACAAAGATCTTCATTTACAATTCCAACATAAACAAAAAAAAAAATCAAAAATTAAAACCGAAAATAAAATTTCAAAAGGAAAGTAACACGGAGGCAAATACGTGCCTTAGAATTTAGCCACACTTCCTCATTGAACTCCCCGTGGTTAGTTCCACAAGGTACGATTGCGGCAACTCTGGAAGTTAACTGATCAAACGTATGCAACTGAGTCTCTCTATCAAAAGCATTCATTTTGAGATCCTCAAGTGTTAATGCTCTTATTCCACACTCTCCTTCTATCAATCTTTTCCATGTGACTTCCACTCCACAACCAAGCGGAGTCACCATACCTAGACCTGCAATAAAGCCTCTCCAGTATACTAACAAGCATATAGACATTTAGATATAAAATATTAACGCATGTACATGCAGATGATAAAAACAGGGGGCGAGTAGAGAGAGATACCAGTAACGACAACCCTTCGAGGAGAATTAGATGAAGAAATGTATCGCAAGAAATGGAGACGTGATGGAATTGAGAGTCTGCGCAGAGCCGAGCTTGCCATGGCCAATTTTTTTGGAGTTTCGTAGCAGTCGGACGGTTGGAGTTGGTGATAGCGGCGATGCCGCGAAGCTTCAAACTGAGAAGCGGTACGGTGTGCTGGAAAAGAACTCTATAAAAAAGAGCAAATTACTTTTGGCCTTTCACTTCTACTGCAGTTAATTTTTATTTTTTTTCAATTGAAAAATTTTTGCAAAGAAAAATAATTAAAAATACATGCTAAATATAAAATTTTCAAAGGGATAGGAAGTTACCAAGAACCCGTTTGGTTGCAGAGGTTAGCTTCAGCTTCTGCTTTTTAAAGTAGTGCTTTCTACTCGTGTACAAATAACAAGAAGCATTTTTAACTAAAGCTGAAGCAGAAATTAGTTTTTAGTTCCTATAACTACAGAAGCTAGTTTGTAAAACATATTCTGCTTTCACGGGATGTTCATTTTCTTCATTTCCAAAAACACCCTCATTGAAACTAGTTAATTACACAAATATACATTAAAGAAGAAAAAAAAAAAAAAAAAAAAAAGCTGAAATCATTGCTCCAATATTATGTTGGGTTTTAGAAGCAATTAGAAAGAACAATTAAGATTATCTGAATTAAAGGAGTTAGTCCCCATTTTTTTCCATTAGAATGTTGATTTACACAATTCTTATTGATTTGCTATTCATGGGGTATATGTATACGTGTGCATCAATCATCTTAATAATTATTAATCTACATTATAGTTATTATTGATAATCATGAATATTAGTGTTTTATTTTAAAATTTATAGTTAAATTTATTTTATGTAATATATTTTGAAGTACAAGTAGATTGATATTTTTTTTAATGTTACAAATAAAAAAAGAAATCAAAAGTGATAAAAACGACATTCATTAAAATAAACTTACTCGGTATTACAATGATTTATAAAAATATGAGTATAAAAGTTCGTAAGAAAATCAAATAATACCAAACTACTTGAGATATGTGTCGGTCCAATCAATTAAATAATTAGTTTAAGCATTATCCTTACGACAAATATAAAGAGAGAGATGGATATCCCAATCAAATAAAGCACAAGCACAATATAATTTTATGTACCAATGCGATTAAAGTGGTACGAGAAGCAATTGTTAGAGGAGGTACTTAATTTAAAATGTCACCTGGATAATAAATTATTTTATACTAATACTCTATGTAAATTTTAGATCATTAAGAACATCATAAAATTTGACAAAAAAGGTTTAAGTAGCCTTCAAATTGCTCATGAAGTTTAGTCACATAGTTCTTATTACTATCTTTAATAAGATTGTCAGTAATCACAAGTCCAATATCACTTTGTACAAACTTCATCGATGTATCTTATACAACTTTAGAATAAGAACTTTAAAATTCACTTGAAAATATTTAGGAGGGATCATCAAAATTCGTATAACGACGTTGAATCTAAAATTTTAAAATTTTAGAGCCATTGTAACAATATGAGTATTGAACTAAATGATAATATGATCAACATTATCAAACACATCTTTGCTTATTTTCTTCAAAAAAGCCAAGTTATAGTAATAAATATCACCTTCCGACACATGATCTCACACATGCAACTTTGATATTTTTGAATGCTAGTATTTAGATTTTGTGTTACCATTTATTTTTTTTGTTTTTTTGTAAATTAATTATTTAAATTTGGATTTAAGTAGGTAATATAATAAATTAATTTTTAATTTTAGTACTTAAATAAATAATATTACCATAGTTACACTACCATCATACTTAGGGCACAATTAATCATAAATAGACTAGGTAAAAAATGATTGGTATATACTCTTGGAACATAAGCAATTGATATAATAATTGCTTTTGTAATCATACATTATTATATAAATTTTATATACCAAAATTAAATTTGAGAAGCATTCGATTTTTTTATTATTATTCACCAATTTAAAAAATTTATTTCAAGATTTAAAATATATACAAAAAAGTATCACATTCCAAAACTAATCAAACTTAAATCTAACATCTAAGTCAACACTAAAACACTGCAAGTAAAAGAATTTATCATGTCAAAATTATAGAAACAGTAAAAAAAATGCAAGTAAAAAGTTAAAATTCTATTTTTTAAGCGTTTAATACCTAATAAATCACATATTTCATGAATAAATTTAATAAAAATATATTCCAACATATATTTAACAAATATAATTGGATATAATAATTTATTTTTAAATATTTTCAATATAAAATTAAAACTAAAAAGGAAACGCCTAGGAAAGTGAGTTGACACATGTGTCCGAGAAGTGACGTCAAAAATACGCGAGGTCACGTGGCACTCCTCACCACCTCCCCGATCTCATCGCTTCGGAACCGAACCCAATTCCGGGACAACCGCAGGGGATTTTTTCCCACCCACAACTCCACAGAGAAAACGAAACTTGGGCTGTTCATTGTCACATGCCCCCATCAGAATCTCTCTATCAGGCAACAAAACCCTGTCTCCAGCAAATACATATAAATACAGCCATCTCGATCTTTGTTATATACACGCTCATATGCATATATATCATCCCTTCTGTCATAATTACTTCGAATCTGTACATCTTCGATTTTCTATCTATACGAAATTTTCAGTTTCCGTTTCAAATAAGAAAAACAGAGCACATAACCTAGAGAACATTTCCAGACTCCTCTTACCAGGCAGAATCTGATCGAAGCAATCATTTACCGCTATAACTCTGTATTTAACTCGATTCTGTTCCTTATCTATCAAGGTCTTCTTCTTGGTTTCTTTCTGTTTGTTGAACTCTCTCTCTCTTTCTTGATCTGAGTCTTCTTTTGCCTGTTATATAGAGAGCTCTTTTTCTTATCTGCGTACGATTAAATCTTGCTAGTTTACTGACTATGAGGAAGAGGGAGAGGGAAAACCCTTGTGCCGTTTGTGGGCACTATCACAAGTACGAAGAAGGAGAGGTTTGCGGGATTTGCGGCCACCGGATTCCGGCTAGCTCCGAGAAAAGCTCTCCCCATGTCAGTGCGTTCCCTTCGGAGATCTTGCCCGAGTTCCTCTATCTGGGAAGCTACGATAACGCGTCCCGGTCTGAACTTCTCAAGACTCAAGGAATTTCTCGTGTTCTCAATGTAAGTTTGTCTGTTCTGTTCATTCTCTCACCGGCTTTAGTATCATAGTGTTTGTTTTATAGTCAGATTCGAATAGCCTGGAAATGTGTTAGTTTTGTTTTTGTTTTTTTTTTTTTGAGTTTGATCTTAATCATAACCGATTAATTGGATTCAATTTCAGTATTCACTTATTGAAAATAGTCGAATTTGCAATTCAGTTCTTTTGTTTTTGTTTTTTTCATCTGTTTATGGGTTATAACTGTTTAGTTGTATTACATTATGCACACAGTGCTAACAGCTTATCAGTGTGGTGGGATTCTAGCAAGAGGAATACTACTAACTATTTTGATCCTATCATCATTATGTAACTATAAGAATTAGTTTAGCTGGTGCAGGAACTGAAATCAAATTTGCTGACATAGGCGTTATTTAAGTAAGATGGTTACTTCTTGTTGGTGTAGGCTATTGGTCTAATAGGTATCTTACTGAAGAAGAAAAAGGAAGTAATTAATAGGTATAGTTGGGTTATGTCAGGTAGCATAAGAGATGAAATGTGGACTTGGGAGGGCATCACTACTCGGAAAAACAGTTGGGACTCATACCTTTAACAATATTTTGGGTTATTTGGGAAGAAAGAAGCAGGATGATGTTCCATGGGGAGGAAGAGAATATTGATAAGATTAGAGTTTGATGGTTTCAGACCTTAAGTTTTTTGTTAATGGGTCAAATTTTGTATTTCATGGAGGATTTTGGTGATTTGATAGAGATGATGATTAACTTGTAAATATTTTTGTAAATGGGTTTGCATCATCTTGGTGCTCATAGTAATCGTATTATACTCTTTTTATTAAAAAAAAAAAAAAAAAAAATTAGAGAGACATCGGATAAATCAAAATTGTTAATTGGACTTGATGTTAATTTCAGTTCAGTTAATTTCAAACCGTAATAGATCCATGGATAGAGATGATTAACTAGAAATTTTTTAGTTTATGTGGACTAGTATTGGAAATAGAAATCTTGCACATATCATAATTGCAACTTGGTAAAGTTTGGTTTTCTTATAAACCTTTATTAATTGGTATCCCCCTAAAACTTTTAAAATCGGTCAATTTACCTTGTAAAAGAATTAGTTGTTTCTAGTTACCCCCTTTCATTAACTTCCATTAGTTTAGGTAGAAAATTTTAAAATTTCTTTTTTCTTTCTTAACTAATCCACAGCTCTACCATATGATGCCGGAGGTGGGGCACAAATTCTTCATCCCCAGATAGCAATGGAGGACATAGGCCGATGGACCAATGTGACAACCCCAGTGGAACTAAAGTTGAGATGGGATTTTATGGGCTCTCCTCTCATCCTTAGTTATACTCTTTGTTTAGAGAATTAAACTTTGTGAAAGTCTAAAATCCTTTGCAAGTGAACTTGAAACTGGAAAACTAAAAGTGATATATGAAGGGTTTTTAGAACTTAACTGAGTTTAGTTGCCTATTACAGTAACTTAAAAAAACTTTTGAAAGGGAAACCAATAAAAGGGCTTTCTGCCATTTTATCTCTATTTTCCTTCTAAAGTAATTAAACGAACTTAATAGAAGGGTAAACTTGAACAGTCAAAATTTTAAGGGATAATCAATTTTAGAAGCTAGTAGCTTGTGAGAGGTAGGTAATTATTATGAGGTAAGTAATTCCCTGCCTCTCTTTTTAAGTAAAGTTTCAAATCATTTATCTGTTTCAATGAGACTTAAAATAGTAATAGGAGTATGAAAATCTTAAATGGTAGTTGATTACCCTGTTGATTCCGTTCTGCTTTGGTGAAATCGATATTGTTCAATGCTCTTTTCCTTCTATTTTTTGGATGCTACTTGAACTTTTTCTCCCCTGCAAGAAACAGAAAAACACTGGTACCATGGTTAATTAGTTTTTGGATTACTGTCATTTATTATGATATTTGGAAAGTATATAGGCCATATTTATGTGCCAAGGATGTTTTTAATGTCAAGCATCTAAGTTTATATGATCTTATAGATTCTTTATATCTTTTTTTTTTCTTTCTGCAGACTGTTCCTTCTTGTCAAAACCTCTACAAGAATTCATTTACCTATCACTGCCTTAAAGATGACAAAACTTTACAGTTTGATGATGCTGTTGAATTTCTAGGTTTGTTTTTCTTTCACTTACAGCATTGATTTTGTGTTTTGTTCTGAAAATGCTTGATTCTGATTTAGAAGTTTTATGTGCACGCATATGTCTGTTTATTGGTTAGAATGCCAAGTTACTTGCTCATTTACTAATATGTATAAGATAGAATTTTGTGCGCTTTATTTGGGTGTTCTGGATGGAATGTAGTGCCGGGATTTTTCATCCTCTTGTTTGGCCACTGTACTTTCCTTGGGACTGTATGAGTCAAGGGGCATGGCCTTTTTCTGGGGTATTCTCCTCTATCATCAAAAGGGATTGGGCTCCCTCTGTACTGATGTTTCTTTTCCTTTTTCCTATAGCTTTTTTACTTTCTTTTGCTTTCACCATTCTTAAGGAGGATACTTTATTCTTCCTCCCTGTACTCTTTTCTAAAATCTAAATAGTCTTATTTTCTTTTCTTATAAAGAAATTGACCAAAAATATTCCCAATCCTTAGAAAATGTCATTTTAGAATTCCAACTATGTTTATATACCGAGTAAATATTTCCTTACAATTTTAGTTTATTGTTACCTTTCTTTCTCTTTATCATTTGCTCATTCACAAGGTCCTGCCAGTTGGATTTCATATATGCGATAAACAGTGAAGGCATCAGTTAAGAACCCTAAAAGAGAGTTACATGTTGTCTGCCCACATGAAATTCATGATAGTTATATCTGATTTATATGGGAATAAGTTTAAATGCTATCATAAATATGGCACCAAATTCCTTTTTATTGGCAAATGTGCCACGTTCTTCTCCACTTTGACACACCAAATGAAATGATTATATACCCACTCAGCCTTTCATTGGAACAAAATGAAAAGTCAGATATTGAAATTGTTAAGAGATCTGATATTAAGAAGCCTGCAAGCTTGCTACCATGGTAGCCCCTGAATCAAGTTTGTTTTTCAAAATATTCTTCCACCTCGTTAGATGCATTCCTAGTTCTTGAATATTTGAAAGAATTCACTAGCAGAAAAAAAGTAACATTTGTAACATCCATCGTCCTTCAATAAGATAAAAGTTTTAACAACATCTTTAGACATCCATGACTTACAAATTAAGCATAGAACCCTTGTTACTGTTCCTCCTTGTCTCTTTTGTTTTACATTATATCTCCATGAAAAATTGAGTGAAAACCAAAATTAAATTGTTATCAGTAATGTGCTTTCTGCTAAATGTGTATTAAACTTATGTTAAAATTACCATCTATTTTGGTGAAAGGCTTACCACTATGAGCAGATTGTCTCCCCCTCACAGATTTCATTTTATTTTTCTTCTGTCTCTGATTGCATATCACTCATGATTTGGCAATAACTAATCATAAATGCAAGATGGTATATTCTATTTTTGAATTGGCCATGATTTGGCATTAATCGATACTTATTAATGGTATTTTCTATATTAGATATATATATATCTTTTAAAAAAGGTATTTTATTTTAGGAGGAACACCTGCCATATGTTTACTTTTCTAGTCTATATATATACGTGTAAAGTCAATAAACTATGCCTTGATTTCATTATGATACTTGTTTAATGGAAGGTTTGAAAGTTCTGATATTTTTATTATGATTGATGGGAAAATCACTATGTTTTTTAATGCTAACCATCACTATGTTGATTGTTGGATTATCAATGGCAATGTCGTGGCATACGCTCTTCTAAGCTAAATAAACAGTAGTTCTTATCATTTATGTAAAACTCAAGTGTTTATTCACAAAGCATATGGATTCTGATATAGCATGTCTTTCTTTTTGCAGAGCAATGCGAGAGGGACAGGGCACGTGTTCTTGTGCACTGCATGTCAGGAAAAAATAGGTGGTTACTGATCTTATCTCTGTCTGTTTTTTATCTAAATGCAGAAGTAGGGAAAAAACATGCGTGAAGATAGAGACATAGACTCTACTTCAGGTACTGCCTATAGTGGAAATGGAGGAGCCTGGCAGCGGTTCCTGCTAAAAAAGTCCGGTAGCAGATACTATGTGGTCCTTTTACTGTCAACATAGTTAGTATACATTGGACCACTGGGCCATTTGTAACCATCACTTGTTTTCATCACGAAGACTCTACTTCTATTTATGTGCTTATGAATAAATTTTTAACATCCAAGAATATGGTTTCTCTTTCCTTTCTGTTAGGTCACCAGCTATTGTGATAGCTTTCTTGATGAAGAGTAGACGATGGAGGCTTACACACAGTTACCAATGGGTGAAAGAAAGGAGATCATCTGTTGACTTGAATCCTGGTATGTACCTGCACTCGTCATATGCTGTCTAATACATTTACAGATGGTGCATTTAATTTAGGTTATTTTAGTTGACTGAATATGAATGTGCATTCTTCAACTGAAAATGTCATAAGGCCGCCTACTCAAGTTTGTATTGTTAAGATCAAAAGTTGGAAGAAACAAGCCCCAACAGCAAAACAAATTAGGCTGGTTGTTGGCAACGGATAAAATGTTGTTTTCTGCTCCACCGGAGAGGGAAATTGTAATTGTTTCTCTTTTTTTTTGTCTTTTGCCTTCTTTTATGCAAATGTGGAGTTTGAAGCTCATATTTCCTTTTCCAAATATCTTCTAGTGGTTGAGGTAGTATCCAGTAGAGATCCTGGATATATATATATATATATAAATGCGTATATGTATGTATATGTATTTCCTTCTTTTTTGTTCTATTCAAAGGTGTCATGCAACTGCAATTAGAACTTTGATGAATGGCTTTTCAAAAGTTTTCTTTAAAGGCTTTTAAATTTGGTCTCTTGGATTTGTTTCACATGATTTTGAGTGTCAGTAAAGCAGATATTTGTTTCACATCAATTCTCTTCTTTGACTGCCTGAAGAAATCTCTTTGTTGAAATTTCCGACTGACAATACAAGGGATTCAGCAACTAGTGTTTATAGAACCTCCTCCATCACTGGGGTTTACACATTAAGAAAGTAATTTTAACAATTTATGGATGTAGGTTAAGTTATTTGAGTTTCAAAATAATCATTTTAGTTAGAGAAAAAAAGCAATTTTTTTAAACAAGAATATTTTTGCAAGACTAGCAGTTGTACTTTGATAGTTAAAATGGATATTTATATTATGGGAAGTGGATAAATTTTGGCAGCTTCTGGAAAGAAAGGTGGATAGCACCATTTTGAGAGAGCACAATTTTGTAAAGTTCTCATGTTATTTCATTTTAACAGTTCTCTTTGATGATATGTTGCTTACCGTCTCTATTATTAAAAAATCTTCATTTAAAATCCCAATATTTGAGAGAAGTCCAGTTATCACTGTGTGTCATAGAGTTGGGATACATATAGAAAAATTGTAAAATCGAGGAGCACCATTGCCCCATAGATTTCAGCTCTTTCCTGTTATATGTATCCGCATACGAGGAAAATGATTCTTATGTCATGATGTCTGATTAACATTTGGGCTTGGTTCTATACTTTGCTGTAATTGGAATCACTTACATTGCAGTTAGGCTCATGACATTTGCCAAAGTTAATTCTCCTATGTTATAAAAATGTTAATTCTTCAAGTTGCTATCTTTCTGACTTGCCTTTTTTTCGTGGTTTATTTTGGGGGGTGGGGGATATATTTTAGCTGTCTACAAACAGTTGCAGGAATATGAACAGAAGCTCTTTGGATCAATTGATAATACCAACCCTGCCCTGCCTGTCTTACCATCAGGAGTTGCTGCATCCTTCAGCTTTGGTTTTCCTAGGGTCAATAATCCGGCACCTGCCCCTACTTTCAATAGCGTTGGTGGTACCTCCATATTTGCGCGCCCTCTAGTGGACATTCCTCAAGAGTTCACGTTTGGAGCCAGCCAGATAAGGGATAATAGTATTATCAACAGCCAATTTGGCAGCAACTTATCAAACCCAAATGGAAGTGATTCTCCCATGGATGGCTCTTGAATCACAAAACTTCTCTTTTGTATCATCAACCATCAGCCAGAAGTTTCATGCACCCTGATTCTGTTGAGTCCCTCTGTAAAACTTGGCTGTGAAGTGGAAGTAAATGATCAAAACTCTTTGGTTTGTTGGAATTGACGTGGCAGGATATCCCCTTTGGGGACCATGTCACAGGAAATGCACATTCTCTTGCTCATTCCTTGATCGCATACAAGTTCATCTTTTTCTACAGATCTTTCGTCAATAATGTATTCCTCGATTTGGTTGTGGCATGCTCCATATTAGCATAAATTGTACTCATGCTGCATTTCATGTCGTGCTCTTTACATAGAATAACAATTTGCCAATCCAACTCCTGCAAAAATTAGATCGGGCTAAGATGCAAGCAATAAACTGTCCAACAACATATATTAAAGCCTTTCAAGTTTTCCTTATGACGCAAGTTAATATATACCATGATGCCGTTGTTCTTTTTCTTCGTACTTCTGAATTCAGCTCCTTTATTCTAAATCTTCAGAAACATTGACTTTATTCAAATTGTTGAAAAGTGACATCCATAATCTTTTTTAAGTGTATTGAATATAATAACTGTGATTCATCATTTGTTGTTAAATATTCTGAATTTTTTCGAACAGAAAGTCAGTAAATATAAAGAGTATTCGACTTATAATGCTGCATTTAGATGGACATAGAACAGAACCACGTAGTTCCTTGTGTTGCATCAACAAGAAGTTTGCTTGAAGTGTTATAATATCAGACATATGACTTAAAACACTGCATTTAGACGTACATAAACACTGCATTTAGATGTACATAGAACAGAACCTCGCTGGTCCTTAGTTGCATCAACCATCATAACAAGATGATCAGACGTATATTCTTGTTGACATAATCTAGGTATTATACAATGCAAATAACCAATTGAGATTTTGCATACACTGGTACTCCTGTGACTAGTGAGCAAGACAGGACTCGAGGGAGGATTTGGCCAGCCACAATAAACCTGGATCATTCCGCTTCAATACCAGATAAGTTTCTGTACGTCCAACGTCATCCAAAATCACGTCTTCAATAAAACCAATCAGAACAAGAATTTCCATTGCCGCTGTAAATCAGGCAAAAAATGAAAGAATTAAGAAAATCTAGCAAACCAAATAGGCTAATCTTTACCAGAGCTTAGTATCATCTACCATTGTACAACACAAATATCACCTATTTATATAGCTCAAGTACACTGGTAACTATTAACCTCAGGCCAAACGTATTTCAATTTGATCCAATCATTTACCGTCTCACTTGTGAAACTTCATTTATGATTTAGTAATTGATTGGTAAAGAAACAGAGTTTGATTGAACCAAACAGACCAAAATTAGAGTAGTCAAGAAATTCATTGAGGTACAATCCAAACCTTTATAGCCGACAATGTTCCTCTGAATTATAGGATTGGCCTGCAATAAATCATCCATCAGTCACAAATGAAAGGATTGAATGGACTAGTGAAAATTCAACGTTACAAAATTTATCTTTTGCTATTTCCAAGCAGAAAACTTCCATCATGGGTAATAATGATTTTACCTTCCTCAATCTCTTGAATTTCAGCTCGTCTGGGTGTTCAATAACGTTCCTGCCAGAGGAAAAAGATCATCCATAAATAACCACTGGACAAAGTAATATTTATACAAACCAACCGTCTGTGTATCTATTTAGCTCACAGAAGTTTCTGTGACGTCAAACAACTTCATGCCGCATCAGATTGTGAGGCGGGGTTGTAGATATTGCAATATACAATGCGCTTACAAGTTGAGAGGAGCATAAAACAAAATGAAAAAGGTGCATAACAAAATCAACATGCTAGGTAAGCTTACCTAATTATCTTGAATAAAGTTTGTAGTACCGTAGAAGTTTCTTTGGGATTAACTTCATTTTGCAGCATCTTAATAGCATTCTGCAGACGACTACAGACAGCAGTAACTGAGTCTTGAATTCTTTGTAATTCATCATCATCTGGATCCGGTTCATCAATTCTCATGTCAGGTATGTCCTGCAGATCTGCTGAAGTATCATGTGGATCAGTTTCTACCTGTCCATTCCCCTGAGATTCACTTGGATCTGGTTCTTGATGAGCCTTCAGCAAACAAGCTTGATCCTCCATGGTCTTAACTATTGTCAAGTGCCCGTCATCAAGTCTTTTTATATTTCCATCTGCTAGATTATATCCCGCGGCTTCTGCATCATCTGGATCAGGTTCATCAAGGGCCCCATTTCCTTGATTATGGTTGTCTAGGATCTCCATTCCTTCAAAATTCTGTTCGGGTCTGGACACATTATTAGAATTTGAAGAAACTCCTGAATCGTCAGGATCAGGTTCCAAAATGTCAGCACGCTCAAAATCATCAGGATCAGGTTCCAACTTGTTTTCACTGTTGTCATCAGGATCTGGCTCTTGATCAGCTCTTGATTGTAGCTTACTATTAGCAACTTTATCTTTTGTAGTATTTATATCACTCGGTTTACCACAAATATTTAACCCAGAATCATCAGGATCAGGTTCTTCATGTACTTCCATAACTTCAACATTGTTGGCAATGGTATATGCCAGACGATGATAAGCAGCTGCAACTGATGATTCACGAGCATTTTTCAATTGGTCCTCTTTACTTCCTCCAAGCCTTTGAGAAGAATTTTGACTGCTTTCAAAATAACTGTCATCTTCATTTTGTACTGAATGCCGAAACCCACTTAATGTGTGACCCATTGTTCTAGTCCAATCTAAGCTATTGGCTTCTTGATTTAACTGCCATTAAACACACTCAATGAAGCCAAGGTCTCCTCAATTGTAATAAAATTTATGCATTCAGATTTGGTTTACCTGTTTATCCAGTGCATAGAAGTTTTCATCATGTTCAGAGTACACCATGTGAGCCTAAAATTAAAACGAGAACACTATAAGTTGGTCATCTTTTTGCATTAAATTATCAAAACAACAAAAAGCATCAGCACACCGCTGAAGGAAGTTGTTGAAGAAAAAGTTTACAAGTTCATGTAACAAAGTTTTTTTGATGCTTTCATATTTCCTGAAACCCTTGAGATCATCTGTCCGAAGGCGCAGAGATATCTCCTCCCCGTGATTCTGTAGCAGTAGTGAGAGTAATTCAGGGAAACAAGAAGAGAAAAGCAAAACCTAGCAGCTACATAGTTAAGCACATAAGGTACCTTGTTGAAACCAAGAATGCATTTGGGAGAAACACCAACGTAACCAACTGGAGCCATCTCAGTCATAATTCCTACACGCCAGCGATACTTTTGAAGAAAAGACAAACAACAGAGAATTCATCAAAGTCAAATTATAGCTAGACAATTTCCTGATTAACATGACTAATCTGTAAAGGGTTACCTTGTTCATTATAGCAACAATACCATGATCTGCAGCAAGCATGTGCATTCTTTTCAAAGCTTCTGAGGCAGGAGGGTGCAACTACAGCAAACAGTGCCAGGATTAATCCAGGAAGTTGAGAAGAGATTCTTTGTCATATCCATAACAGATATGTCATGTACGATACTCACAAAATCACCATATTCTCTCCATATTATGGAAAAAATCATTATATAAACTACAATGCATTTAGTAAGGAGCAAAACTCTGGATATAGATTTCATCAAACTGAAACAAATGAGAAATTTAAATGAATATGAAGTTTATAACTTACAGACTAACTGAAAACTAATTGAATCCATAATACCCAGATAAAGATTAAGTATTTAACCATCTAAGGAGCTATAGTTATTCTTTAGAGTGAATCAGATAACAACATGCATATCGTTAGGTCCAAAACCATGAAAATTTACCTTTATACTAACTGAGGTTAAAAATGATTGCTGGCCTGCTAACTGAAGTCATGCAGAACTTTTTAATATATTTTAACGTGAGTAGAACTATAAATATCTTATTGTTTTAAGTATGGCAATAATTGTGCATCAGATTATTACTATATTCTTACAAGCCATAGAAATTGTTTCAGTACCAAGTAATCATTAAGAGAGACATAGTGACAACCACATGGATATGTATTTAATGTGCACTTATGGGTACTTCGATGCATGTATAGTGTAAATATTGTATATGTAAGGCTTAACCAAATCCTAATCCACCCATTATGAAATGTCTTTTTCTTCTCTTTACAACATAATGTATTTCTCTTTTATGTTGATGAACGAGGCCCTCTTGCAACATACTTCAATAATAATTTATTCAGAAATCTGGTGAGTGGCAGACAAACAAGCCACTATATCACATTTACACTGGTAAAGAGTTCCATGGTGGCATCACTCTAACATTCTGTGAAAAATATATGTGATGTGTTATTTTCTTAAAGAAATCTGATTATAAATAATCTTATCAACTTATCAATGTGTGTTCATCTTAAACATCTACCCTAGTACTTATCCCACGTAACATACAACAGGTCAAATTCTTCATCTTTCCTAATATATATTGCAATCATCCAACTCAAAAAAGTACCTCTACTCCAGGAACTTGAAGCGTGCGAAAATCACAAAAAGTATAAGGCCCTTGTGGAAGTTTTTGTGTAGCATGGGACCTATATGACATTCTTTGCTTCAGTCTCCTTTCCTCTTCATCAAATCCAGCTATCCTGAGGTCTGTCTTAGCATCTTGCAGAACCTTATCAACTTCATCTTCAGACACTCCCATCATTCTGATAGCCTTTCCCTGACATGCAGGATGAGGAAATAAGTTGCTTGCAAAACTTTATCAAAGATTCTTTTAGCAAATTTAGAAAGAATATTCAGAGTATGAGTTGCTTCGGTCAAACACACAAGTAAACAAATTTCATTTACAGCCCTCCTAACTACTTTCATTTATGCATTCACAGCAGAGTTTAAATGTTTACAGTCAGTCACTCCAATAAATATGGTGATTATCCAAGTCACAATTTAACAGTTTCTCATCTACAAGCACTATAACAATGTTAAACTTTTGTTTTATTTATAAAAGAAATCCTCATTTTGGTTCACCATTTTTAGATAGTTCTAAATGACATATACAAATATACAAGGGTTACCTGCCACCAACTGGCAGAACAAATAGGAAAAAGAATAAAGCTATGGTATTCGGGGCAATCAGAACTGTATAAAAGTAAATTTGTGTACATATACACATAATATCATCATCATTACTGTACTGCAAAATAAAAGTTAGATTGTAAACAAATCTATTGATAGACATGTCCCACGATCACTCATAGGTGAAGAGCATGCAACTAAATATCATCAATATATTCCAGAACAATTATTGATGGCAAAACATAGAAAGAAATTGGCACCTCAGGAATTAAAGCCTCTTGCAAGCTTAAGCATGAGTGTTCATCAGAGAAAGGAGAAAGCAATTTTGACCCTTTATTGGACAAGTTAGGGACAATAAGCCGCATTGTCTCTGCCTTGACATCAGTTAAGTTCTGCAATTCATCCCCTAACTCCTTGAGAGATGCGCCACAACTCATTTGTATAATGTATTTGTTCCCCCTCCATATGACAGACACTTTAACCATGCTATCTGACTGTTGCATGTTGTACCTGTGTGGATGAAACATAATTAGTATTAGAAGAAAACAACTTTTGATCACAAATAACAGGTAGTTGAAGATCAAGTTCTATAGAAAAAAGTCAAAGAGATATTAGATTATAAAATCAAACTAGAAAGATAAAGATTTGAGTTTTTGAGTTCAACTGTAAGGCTAAATATTGTCATTGATGATTTTGGTTTTCCACCATGGACTCAGAAAGTTTTTTTCTTTTCTTTTCTTTCCTCTGCCTTAGCCTCATTTTTCTAAGGGTAAACCTCAGAAGGAAGAGAACAGGATTACATTAAAGCCACTTCCATAAACTCTGTAAAGAGGGCTTTCTGCCATTTGTGCTGTCATATGGTTGGACATAAGACGTATAGTACATAGTTTAAGAAACAGTAGTCAAAAGTATATATAAAGAATCACACTTGGGAATGCATCATATAATGCATCTATATAGATCAAGTAAATCCATATCTCAAGAATAATAAGAACCATATATAACCTCAGAGATTCTTTTTTATTAATACATCAAAACAAACACCAAAAGAAAGAAAGAAAGAGGGAATGACAGAAAGAAAGAAAGAATGAAAGAAAGAAAGAAAGAAAGACAGACAGACAAGAAGAAAGAAAGAAAGAAAGAAAGAAAGAAAGACAGGACGAAAGAAAGAAAGAAAGAAATGGAGACAGCTACAATAACTAACTGAACTGAAATGTCTCTAACCCTTCCATATGGATCAACTCTGAAATTAAGTAACTAACCATCAAAACCTGATTCCGCAATCCAAACCTTGAAAATAAACAAAACTAACCTAAAGAATATCAATTTCCGTATGCACGACTACGTTTGAAGGAACCTCGCCCCAAATTTCAACAAAAAACGAGCTAAATTGGAGGAAATGGACAAATGATCAATTTCAGTACTAAACAATCCCATACCGTTGCAGATAAATAATAAAATGAACGATTAAATGGTGAACTTTGAAGTTTCATCGAACCTGAATCTCCGAATACTTGGAGAGGAATTTGGACTCGAAAGAAAAGTCAAGAGAACTGATTTTACCTCTGTAGTCTCTTGACCGGACTTTACGCGAGAAACGAAGGCAGCAAGAGAGGATAAAAACTGGAGCGACAAAGTTTTGACAAGCACTTATATAGGAATTGGTGCGTAGGATTGGAGACGAGCGTATTTTAGACGCGGTAAGCTAAATTGGCTAATTGGCGTTGGGCTAAAGTGAGTGGTGGTTGGTTGAAGCTGCGCAAGTGGTGGCGGATCTGGGAGAATATGGGACTTAGATAAAATCTAGAAGCAGCGTTTTGTTTGGCAACCTTACTCAACGGTGTTCATCACTTCGTAATAGGATCTGTTTATATTTTTAAAAAACTTATTTATATACAAGTAATTTATTTATTAAAAGATTAATTATCTTAATAAATTTTTTCTTAATTAAATAAAATCAAATATATTTATTTTTTTAAAGTTACAATTAAAATTAAAATTTTCTCAAATTTCAATTCAATCTAATTTGTTTTAATTATTTATTTTGTTCTACAGTTGTAGAAATACACTTTGTTCAAAAAAAAAAAAAAAAAAAAACATTATATGTCTTAAGTTTATTGTGTAAAATTCTCAATTTCTTTAAAGAAACAGTTTTTCATTTGAAATTAAAATCATATTCAACAACAACAAAAATTTTGATTTTCTTAAATTAAAAATGGAGAGCAGACCAAATATTCTTTGATATAATTTGGTGTGAGCTTTTTAAGTTCAATAGAGATTGATCAAGATATATTTAAAAAAGTATTAAGTTTTCGTAAGATAAATTAGTTGAAAGATTTAATAAATATTTACAGTGGGCTTACATATTCTTTTAATAAAATTAAAAAATTAATTATATTCTGCGTAGTTTAAATTCATTTATTCTTTCGGAACGTATAATAATTACTTTTTTTTTTTTTTATAAGAATTAATAATTAAATTAAATATTAATATAAAGAAAAAAATAATCTTGATTTCAGATTACAAAATGATTCATAAATAATTTAGCTTGAAGTTTGAGAATTGGATAATGTACAAAAGGTTGTCTAATTTGAACTTCTTTAATTATAAAAAGAGAATATGTTTTTTATAATTTGAGTTTTATATCTTGATGGATCAAATTATCTAAACTTAATTAAATTTAAATCTCGAATAAGAGCTTGTATATCATATGATATTCATTTTATCCCTTAAAATAGTGATTAGCTTCTCCTTATCATATTTATAAATTATAAATATTAGCATATAATAGGCTCTTTATAAACATTAAATTATTCATTTTCTATGAAATAAAGGAAACAAAGAAAGAGTAAATTAATAAAATTTAACTTAAATATCATTAACTTCTATTAACAGAGTTAAATACAATTATAATTTCAAGATACAATAATGTTTTACACTCATTTTCACAAATCTAATATTACATACGAACTCCCAATTTTATTTGAATTTTTTTTTTTTTAAAAAAAAAAAACCTTAGATTTTCTTCGAGAGCCAAGTGGAAGCATAAAAATTATGTTAATAAACTAGTACATTATAATAACGAAATTTCATAAGTTTAAAGACTTAGAAAACATTAAAAAAAAACACATGAAAGCTCTACCATCTTCCGAAAAAGTGATGCAGCTGTGTTATGATTTACTCTCTTTTCCCTCGGCATCTATTGGAATGCTCGCAACCTCTATTGTATGGATTGGCTGGGGTGTCATGACATTCATTTGGGTGTTTAGAGCTGCAACCTGCAGCCGAACCACGTTGTATTGCACCATAACTGATGTCTTCTGCATCCACAGCAAGACTTCCCATAATCATAATTATGAGTCCAAAGACTATCATTCCTTTGGAGAGATACATTTTGCAGTAATAACAGTAAATATATATATATATATATATATGTATATATATTAATTTTTCTAAGAATTGTTGAATTTGGTTAATTTCAAGAGTTCAAGCTTTTTAACTTGTATACAAGAAAGGTATTCTAAATATGGAAGTTCTATTTTTAAACAATTATTGATTCAACAGTATATTTATATTGATTTGATTTACACCCCATGAAATTTAGGCAATACATATAAGGATTCCTTTCTATATTTACACAAACCCAGGTGCTAAACTTAAATCTTCACCACCATGTATCTAATTAAGGTTACACTAATTTCGGATCAGTTTAACTAAAAAATTGTCACTCATGAAATCTGAAATGTTAAAAACGAAACCGAAACCGAGAAATCGAATTTGTCTTAAAAAATGATTTTTAAATAAATAATTAATTATTTGACTTTTTCAAAAAAATTAAATCAGTAGCTGAAGGATTTTTTGATTTATTTTAAAAAAAAAAAAATAAAAGCTGGGTAATGGATATTAATTTTTTCAGATTTAAAATCAAAACCGAATCAATTTATTTTCTCATTTAAAATAAACTGATAAAAGTTGGTCAACAATGACAGAGTAATTAAATTAAGATTTGGACTTCCTTTTTTCAGCCAACTCCGGTCCTTTGTATACATACATACATACATACATATATATATATATGTGTGTGTGTGTTTGGGTATACGTGTTTGTATATCATCAGAATTTATAAAACTTAGTACGTCAGAAAATTTATATTGAGAAGCATAGGTTCTGTGAAGGGGATAATTGTTTTCTTCCCGTTGTGCTCGGTGATGGCGGCTGGAACAACTGAAAGGCCGATAGTTGAGAATGATCAGAATTTTTTGCCGCCTCCAACATCAAGGCCACTCAATAGAGGTTGCAACCCCATCCACAGGTGCCCTCCGGATACTCCGTCAGCCATGGGGGCAAACGGTGTCTAGCCTGACATCAAGGACTCCTGATTTTAATTTATATAAACTTAAACTTTTAATCTAAAAAAAAAATGTATCTTAACAGCTTTACATATATATATTAGAATGAATTTCTCTTATATACATATATTACATCTTAACAAGAATATCTGAGTTTCTCTTCTTCAGTGCTAATTATGAATAAAAATGTACTTCAGAAACAATTAAATCATGACTGATCAATGGTAGAGAAATCTGAATCAATAATTTGAAAATCAGCTGTATATTGAATATATATATATATATATATATATATAGAGAGAGAGAGAGAGAGAGAGAGAGAGAGAGAGAGTGGTCTGTTGGAGGAGAAGGCTGGAATTAGATAATATTTTTGAAGAGCCATGCATAACTTTAAAGGCCCTATCAGATATGTGTATACGTTATAGCTTGCAACTCGAAAGATCCATGCAGTTGAGATCAGAGATTAAAACCCCATCTTTAACTTAATTGAAAATCAATTAAGTTAATTACAGGGCTTGGTCCGAGCCATATCCCAATAAGGGTTCAGAGATATTAAAACCCCAATTTTCAGGCCATCTGGGAACAGTTTATTCAATTTCTTGGGATTAATTTAAAAAGGTTGAATTTAGAGATGATCAAAATATTAGAGAATTTCAAGCAAAACTGAAACAATGCATTATGAAATTTATCAACCTTTCTTATGATTTTAATTAAAGCTTTTTGGAAAGTTCATAAAATTATAATTATAAGAAAAAACATCAAATATGAACAAATTAGGATGATATTGGAGACAAGTATTTAGACTTTTGGCCCTGAATTTGAAATTCTAAGATGGGTAATAAGTAAAACAAATAAATAATTTATTATACTTTAATTTAAGCAGAATTTGGTAATTTAACTTTATTTTCTTTTTAAAATTTTCAGCGAAATAAAATTACCAGCTATTCACTATTTATAATTTTTTTTTGTAAGAATATTACCGAAGGAGATCTAGACAACTGTGTTATAAAATTAGATTTAAATAAAATAATAAGTCCATTACAATGAAGTCCAGTGCACATGTGCGCCGTAGGTTAGCATGCAGCATATTGAAAATAAAATAAAAATACAAGAGGCGGGCCAGTTGAAGTTAATGTTGATATTGAGATCAGAAGAGACGCTTGAACCCCGTTCGACATCGTTGGCTAGGTTCGCAGCCTCTCTGGTAAGGGTTGGCAGGGATGGGTGGACCACATTCCTTTGGGTGCTTTTTGCTGCACCCTGGATCTCTATCACCCCTCTTAATTGGATCATATTTGATGTATTGGTCTGTTTCAACAAAAGCCTCACTGTGAATAGGCCCCTCCGCCGTCACACTGCCATCTACTGGTCCGTCTACTGATGCCGCCACCACTACGGTACCCATGATGAGCACTAGAAGACCGAAAACCAGTATGCCCTTTTCCATAGCCATTGACAAGATTAAGCTTTTGATTTGGTTTATTGATATTAATCTCGACAATGGCTATGGGTGTTGTAATAGTCAGGTCTTGGTGAGTTGAGATTGATACTCTTTGGGTTTATATATGCCATTGGAATCTAAATATAGCGTTTCTTTTTTAAGATAGTTTCTAAATTTAGATTATAATTCAACCATAACACCATTTTAATTTAAGCTCCTCCGTAGAATTAGACATTTGTTTTAACTTTTTTTTTTTTTTTTTTTTTTTTTTTTTTCTTTCTAAATTTATGTAATGGCCAGAAAGATATTAATTTTCGTGATCTCACAATTAAACAAGATTAAACTGTTTGGTTTGTGTTAATGGCAATCAAAATGTACTTTTAGTAGATTGAGTTTTATTTATTTTTTTCAACGGTAATTAATTTACAAAGTAGGTAGTATTAATTCAGTTTTAAAAATCAAAATAAACTTAATTTAAAATTTATAATAAATTTATTTAAATCGGTCTTACTTTATAGCTCGATGCATGAATTTCAATCTAAGATTCATTGATGTTAAACTTGTTTTTAGCCGAATGTCAGTTGCTTCGCTAGTATTTCAGGGTGTTCCATGCTTGATGCTCAAGGAAAAAAAAAAATGAAACCAGATGAATGATTTCTATTTTATTTTCTCATGCTTAACGCCTAGAATATGAGGACTTAGCTCATGCTCTCTGTATCTTTCGTTTTGGACCAAATGAATAACGATATTCAAAAGTGTTGCTTATGGCTTCATGCATGAATTTCAACGTGAATTTTCTGCTGTTGTATTTCTTCATCTGGTCATCTTAAATCTTTTACGTTCTTGCATAGTGAAGAAGTTTGGAAAGCATTTTAGTGTAGATATTTGCTATTTCTTTATATTTTTATGTGTATACCTTTACTTTCTATTTGCCTTTTGATTTCACTAACCAAGATCGTTTAAAATTACTAGTAATTTAATGTTGCATGGTGTCTCTTATGTTTATAATACAGGGAAGGGAGAAAAATTAGTTCCTTCCCCTTCTTGTGCACGTGAGAGAGAGAGAGGAAATTTAAGTTGTGATGATGATGAGAGACAAAAAATAAAATATTAAAACAATGGTGTTTGCCTTTTTTCCTTCCAGGAGGCAGCCACCTTCACACACACACACACACACACACACGTGTATATATATATATATATGTTAAACCCCTCTCTCTCCCCACTTCATTTCTTCTCTCTTCTTTCACTCACGCACAACCTCTCTCTTCTTTTTCTTTTATAGGCCAGAGATGTCATGGAAATCCATTTTTCAACTTGAAAAATTCCGCAAAAAATTTGGAAACAAATCTTTTAGGGTTACGTAAAGAAGTGGCAGAGCAGTTAATGAATGGGATACCGAGCACATGAACAAGTTGTTAAATTGGAAAAAAGGTGAAAATTCTTTGGGTACTTAATTTAGCTTAAATAGAAAGGGTATACGTATCAACACAAACAAGCATATGATATTTGCTAAGAATTTTCGTCGATTGATTGATATCATATTTAAAAATGAATGGGATTTATAAAAAATTTTGAAAAAATTATTTATCAATAAGAGTTTTCTTAAAACCTGAAGATATTTTAGAATTATTGACGTGTTAGAGCATATCACCATTTAAAGCATATATCTCTCAAAGTAATTATTGTGCTGGAATCGTCTTCAACCATTAAGCTGCTTGTGACAATTCCAAGAATTTGGAAATATATTTAAAGAATTAGATCGGGGTTTGCAACATTCTGGCTTGGAAGTCAACGATAATCTGGCAACCAATTGGATTATGTTCAAGCAGATTTATGATAGTGAGTGATTGCAATTGCCTGGCTTTAATAAATGCAGCAACATGTGAGTCTGATGCTAATTCCTGCTCTTCTGACATTCAGCTCTACACTTAATGCACGAGCTGTGTCTCCTTAAAACACAAACAAAGGCGAGCTGTCTGGTTGATTGGCGGTCTAACATTGGTGGTTCCTGGTAGACATGGTGTTTCCAAGTTTAAACCAGAAGTTACACATTTCTTCAAAATAATCCTTGACGATTCCCTTCGAGAGGGGAAGCTTGTAAGCATCTACCACCGTCCTTGGTTTTTTATTTGCTCTCTTCTTGCACTAGTTCCTGTTGTCGTGATCATCATGTTACTCTTATTCTGCAATTTCCTTTTCGTCTTCTGGTTAATTTATTTGCTTGTTAACCTGATGAATTTTAAGCAGCTTGCTTAAATATATGTAGTAGTTATTTGTTAGTTGTTAGTAGTCAGCACTCTCGCCTGCCTCCATAAAAGCAATTGCAGAAAAGACGGAGCTCTGTTTTCGCCGCGTTTTTTGTACTCTGTAATCTGTGTTCTTTTTCACAGAACATACCCAGTAAGTTTTGGCGCGAGTTTGGTAGTGGGAAACCGAGCTCAGTAGAGCTTCTTGCCCCTTGCGGTGCAGTATGGAAAGTAGAAGTTAGAAAAAGAGACCATGAGGCCTGGTTGCAAAATGGATGGGAGGAATTTGCAGAGCATTATTCTTTAAGCTACGGCCATTTTGTTGTTTTCAGACATGAAGGAGATGGCAAATTCCATACTCTCATATTTGATATGACTGCTACTGAGATAGATTATCCAATCGTTGGCCCAAATGGTGAGTCTTCTAATCTCAGAGAAGGAGACAAGGACGAAGGTGGAGACAATGATAGCCCTGTTGAAATTTTGGACAGTCCCGAGTCCCCTAGCAGGAAACGAAGAGACAAGGACGAAAGTGGAGAAGATGATAACTCCGTTGAAATTTTGGACAGTTCCGAGTCCCCTTGTCGGAAACGAAGAGAGATATCACCGTTGCCATGTCCGAAGCCCTCTAAGTCACTAAGAACCAATTCTACATCTGAAAAAGCTGGAGGTTAAGAATCAAATACCGAGAGATTTCATGTTAGTGTTATACAACACTGAAGTTCTATTTCAGGTTTTGTTTTGTAATTCTGTTGGTTTTTCACAGAACGCCATGGAGGATTCGTCAGTGATAGTCAAAGATGCCGGCAAGAAAAGATTTGTAAGAGAGTCCAACCATTGATCGCTGATGAAAAACTAAGAGCTCTTCAAAAGGGCTACCGCAAACTAAGAGCTCTTCAAAAGGGCTACCGCTTTCAAGTCCAATGATCCTTTTTTTTTTTGTCATGCAACCATCCTATGTTAGTGTTTGGGGATATAAATATTGTGCCCACGAATTCGTATAATATATTGAATACATTATTATTTGATAAATTATTTTAATATATAATAATAATATTTTATTATTATATCGTTTAATTTATGTGATAAATTTCTTAATTAAATCTGTAGATTTTACATCAAGATGAGAATCTTGATAATGAAAATAAATTTTTTTATAATTTAATTTAAAATATTTTTAGTCGCTGAATGATCAAAATGTGACATTAATGATTCGGTAAAATTAATATATATGTGATAGTCTCTATAAAATAAATATTAGTTGATATCATAAATTAAATCACATATATAGATGATGCATATGGAGATATGATCATTGAACCGACCCAATTGAGAATTTTTAATGGTTAATATTATCTTAAACTGTCAATAGAGTATTCTCTTATTTTGATAAGATGTAAGAATTTTCTTAAACCTGAGATCATCATAGTAATTGATAAGTCATTTATTGTACTTTGATTCTGAACACCTATGGTCATAGAACTGTAGTTGAAAAGATATTGAGTGTAGCGACCCCGGAAATTCAAAAAAAAATATATAATAATTTAAGTGCGAAAGCGAAATAAAATGTTAAGGTTTACATCTCTTACACAATAACTTAAAATACTGAACAACATTACAGAATAAATTCTCTGAAAGAAATATGAGAAATAAGAAAAATAATAGAAAATAGAAAGTATCTAGCGTCTACTCGCAATCTTCTTGCAGATCGGTCTTTGGAACCAGGTCCTCTTGATCTAAAATGGTTTAAATAAATTATGAGCTACACTAGCCTAGTAAGGATATCACACTATATCACCAGTACAGAAGTAAAGGTTGGTATAAAATCAAAACAACTAATGAAGTACTAAATTTAGCAAATTCGTTTATCAATCATAAAATCAGTTACCGTTCACTTACCATAGTGAAATTTATGAAAACAACCTATAGAGACAATAATACCATACATATTATAACTTTATGAACAATCAGTAATATAAAACATAACATAGATTCATATCCATTAACAATAAACCAAATTATAACCGTTTCTCATTTCACCAGCCTACTAGTATTCATAGGGGTTCATAGGGATGTCCCTGCTACACGTGAACCATTTTCTTTAACAATCTCAATTACAGGACCGTCCCCATACTTCGTCCGGTATAAGGCAAAGATATTAAACCTCAATACCCCGTTCGGTGTCAGGGTAAAACGGGCCGTCCCTATATTCCGTCCAGTATGAATGTCAAATTACCAAGTCTCCATACCCCATCCGGTATGAGACAACATTCATAGTAGAGTTTTCCATGTATCCGGTCCGTCCACCATCTCCTAAGATATCTAGTAAGGCTGCCGTTCTATCTGTTTATTTGATCACACCACTTTCCTGTTTTTCCTCAGTCTCCATTACCAAATCAAACATAGTCACATAACAAATAAATATGCATTTGGTAATGTAATCATGTTTCAAATCCCAAATCAAATAATAGTCAGATAAGATAGTAATACATATATTTAAACCGTAAAATAGAGAAATTAGATATTATTATGCTTTCAGACTGTAAAATAAATCAACAGAGAACAGTGTACGGTTCGGGCTCCATTAGTAATCTGTAATTAGTTATGCACATCTATTTAATTTGTACAAAATACCGTATTATTATTTATTTAAACTTCAATTTTATGATAGAGAATAGGGTGAGAGATCTTTATATTTCGACGCCGAAAAGCTAAACGGTTTACTGCGCCTACGGGCGGTCCATTGGTTCCCTAAATTTTTCTTCAGGAACTGAAACGCACTTATAATACCTACAAATGTTTCAAATAAACCCAAAATTAGTCTCAGAACCCGCTCGACCAATTTTAAAAATCCAGCACGGCGGCTCCGTCGTACTCCGGCGACAATGCCGCAGCCCGTGGCGGCAGTCTGCCTCGAGTCAGTCATTTTCAGTCGAATTCGGTCAATTTTGTATTGATTCCTACGAGCACACACGGTAAAGGGCCTCGGTGGGCTGAAAAAACACAAAAAATTAAAACTCACCGGCGGCGGAGCTCTCCGGTGCGGCGGCTCATCCGACTCACGTTACGGTTGGGTGTTTTGCTTCTGTCAACCTGTAGAGAAGAAAACGGTGATCACAACGGTGGAAAAATTATGCAAAACAGGAATCGAAAAGGGCCTCATTGGAGGCGGTTTATGAAATTCCCTGTGGCGGCGACACCGGACTTTGTCGGTATTTTTTTGCCAATTGGCCAGTTCTTTCACTTCAATTTTACCATGGGTGAGTTAAAAATTGAATTTTGTGCAAAATTTTTTTTTTACCTTTTTTGGCGGTCGGAAAGGGTTCCAGTGTGGCGACGGGTGGTGGCGGTCGACTCTCCGGTGACTGGGTTGTCTTCTCCGGCGAAGGTTTCTGACGGTTAATGTTAGGGTTTGGGTGCAGATGATGTTATTTATATCCATCCGCTTTTGATCTGGGCCGTCCATCGCGTTTGATCTGAATCATTCGATCGTGATTAAATAGGGAGTGAATCTTGACCGTCCATCGCGATCCAATCTGGGCCGTCCGTGTGCGATTCACTTTGGGCCATTCGTGCGCGCGGGAATGGACCTCAGCCGTTCGATCGTGCACACGCGGATCACCCACGTGGCTCCCCCGCGTGGCCTCCCGCTTCAGCACCTTTGCCACTTGGCGCATCCTAATTGGTCGGGGCTGCTAACCGAGCGTCTGACGTGACGCGATTTTTTAAAATTATGTTTTGACCTCTGATTTTCGATTTTTCTTTCAGAAATACTCAATGAATCCAATTTTTTACCCATTTTTTCCAAAATTATTTTCAATTTAATTCTTAATAAATTTTACCCCTTTTTTATTAAAATAAAATAAAATATAATTAAATAAAATAAATAAATAAATAATTATATTTATTAATTAAAAAATGAAAAAAAAAGTTTTTGTGGGTGTTACATTGAGTGTGATTAAATGTTTGTAAAATTAATGATTTGTTAAGACAGAATTTGTCAACTTGGGTAATAAGTTTAAACTTTATATTGTCATTTATTAGACTGACCA